CGACGTACTTCATAAGAAGGGTTATATTTTTTTCCATATGATAGTGGCATAATCTTGTACTGCAAGTTCCCTCTCAACTTAATGGTTTTCTCTCAAACTCTTTCGCTGTTATAGCTGTATAACTGTAGAACGTGCTTTCCTTAGCAATAACAAAATCCCCTAACAAATGAATTTTAAAAACAAAAGTAAGAGAACATTACTTAGGCTCATTTGATACATAAATATAAATAATATACTATGATATACATAAATATATAAACTCTCATAAATAATTTAATTTTTTTTATTTATTCTTATTAAAAGTGTACATTATTTACATTTTAAATTTTCCCAAACTGTAAGCCAGTTTGTCGGCAACACAACAGTTCATCGTTTCACACTCCTTAATAACAATATCTGTATAAATATATTAAATATAAAATATATTATTTTCCTATATATATTTAAATAAGTATGATCTATATGTGTGTGTTTGCGTATGTATTTGCGTGTGCGTTGCTCACTGTAGGACACACTTCCCCCACGATTTTTTCGGTTGTCTGGTAGAAAATGCCACATGGCATTAAGTCCGCTGTTTGTACCTTTAGTGCAATAAAATGTATAAATGAACCATTAAATAAGAGAATCTAACCCACTATTCTTCCCGTGGGTGCCGTAAGAGGCGTCTATATGATATCCCAGACACCATATGGCTTCCAATAGATGGCAAAAAGTATTTCGTTAATGCCAGGCTTAATACAGACAGTAGTGAACAATGTCAAAATAATACTGTGACCGCTAATTTGTCTGCCAATTCTCTATAAAACTGTAAAGGCCTCTGCTTCAGATTACCAAGCAGAAAAATTGTCCTACCTACTTCTTAAGTAATATTAAAAGAAAACTAAAAACTTAGATTATATAACAGTCCTACTCCCCGCGATGTAGTGCGAAGAAAAGTTTTCTCGGTTAATAGTTATACTTAGATATAATAATTATGTATAACTATTCGTCGAGTAAAGAATCATCCCAAATATAAAACATACAATTTTACGTCCTCCAGACTGAATTTCTTTCACGGTAGCCAGTCTCAATGCAAAAAAAAATCCGAAAGGAAATCTGAAAAATGAGCCATTAATTTTATAAAGTAATGCTGGTTTTGAAAAAAGAACTTTGGAATAGAAAATTAGTACTCATTGCACGCATTAAAACTTTGGACATCACTTAGTTATAGTTTAATATATAATTAATCTCAACAAAAATATTTTAAACATTAGTTGTTGATCATCACAACAAAAATCCATAGGATATAAGTATAATATTGTGGAAATGTAACTATGCACAATCGTGCTTGCCATACTCACATCAGTTAACATCATTAGCTTTTTAACTCAGCGGAACTAAGCTATCCCGACAAGGCTTTACATATGAGTAGAGTTCTCCATCGCAACGGAGAGCAAATTTTTTTAAGGATATTGTGACAGACGAGCACACAATCCACCTGATGGTAAGTGGTTGCTGTGCCCCATACACATCCACATCTCTCCTCGATTACGAATCAAAATTCAGATGCGTTGTCACCCGTGAGGACTACGATAGAATACCTCGTTTCCAGTAAAAAGCGTCTCCGGTTCCACACTCACCATACGAAAAACAGTAGCAACAAGCTGCTGTTTTACGCTGGTATTCTTTGAGAGCGTGGTCCTTCCCTGGTTATTGGTTGTTCCAAATTATTAGTTGAAAACCCGTGAAATATTTGATATTTACGTTTTCAAAGTAGTTTTTTAAATTTCGAATTAATCTAAATATTGTATGAACAATAATTTTTTATATTAAAATTTTAAATAACATATCATTAACAGTTATTTCATGCAAATAAAAAAGTTAATACAAATGTTATGCAATTAACAAACAATTTTCTATTGACTTTGGTAATGGATGGACTGGTTGATTCATTCATACTCATGAATTGTTTTAATGAATATAGAAATTTGCTTAACCAAATATATCACACTTTCTCATCCGATGTATACGACAAAATACGATACGATATTAAATTACGTAAAATTTACATATTAATTTTTATTGGTCTGTCCTTTTTGGTTTATATTTTGAATTCACGATAAAATTTTCTTTTTAATTACTGTTAAGAATTTTCAACGGTATAGAATTCATTATAACCGCAAAGTTAAATGCTCAATTGGAAGATCTTTATGGGTACCTATTCGTCGTATCGCCATAGAGAGGTTTTGCTTACCGGGTAAAGCGTTACAAAGTTCTTTTTGAGTTAATTTACATGGATTTTGCACAATAACCCATTCTTGTACCAATGTTGGTCTTTAATGGATTACTTTTGAGATGAACATAGAGCTGCAGCGCTCCGCCACGTCTTCGTGCGGGGACGCCACCAGCGACATATATAATTTAATATTATATTATAAGAAAACCAAACATTAAATGTAATTATATAAATTATATGAGCCGTGGTAGCTCAGATGGTTAACGCTCGCTGTAATAATAACAGAACGCGAGAAACCCGGGTTCGATCCCCGCCGGCACCAATGAAATTGTTAATTGCAATTTTAAGCGCTGATTTACTACGGGCTCAGCGGTGAAGGAAATCATCAAACAACAGTAGGGAAACCTGCATGTCTGAGAAACAAGAAAAAAAATATTTCGAAGAAATGTGAAGTTCGCCAACACGCATTGGGGCAGCGCGGCGTACACTTCCTTGCTCTAAAACGCTCTTAGAAATGAGGGGAGGCCTGTGCCCATCTGTGGGACGTATATAGGCTGTAAATTTACTTTCCTTACTTTTTTATAAATTATACATAATCGTTTGTAAGTTTTATGGAATTAGCTTATCATCAATTAGATCATCATCATTATTAAAAATTAACAATGACTATCCAGCCTCCCGAACAAGCCGGTTTCAGAAAAGGCTTCAGTACCATAGACCACATATATACCCTGCATCAGACTGTACAGAAGACTGAAGAGTACAATCTGCCACTTTGCCTGGCGTATGTGGACTATGAGAAAGCCTTTGATTCCGTCGAAATTTGGGCGGTGCTACAGTCCCTTCAGCGGTGCCAAGTTGACTGTCGGTACATCGAAGTGCTGAAGTGTTTACACAGTAGGGCTACGATGGCTATCCGAGTACAGAACCAGAGCTCGAAACCTATCCAACTGCAGAGAGGTGTAAGACAGGGTGACGTTAACGAAAATCTTCACCGCTGCATTGGAAGATGTTTTCAAGCTACTGGACTGGAAAGGATACGGTATTAACATCAATGGCGAGTACATCACTCACCTTCGATTTGCCGACGATATAGTCCTTATGGCAGAATCGCTGGAGGACTTAAGCACTATGCTCAATGACCTCAATAGTGCCTCCCAACGGATAGGTCTTAAGATGAACATGGACAAAACAAAGATTATGTTTAATGTCCATGTCACACCTATGCCGGTAGTTGTTGGGAGCACTATGCTCGAAGTTGTTGACGAGTACGTTTACCTGGGACAAATAGTCCGACTAGGTAAGTCCAACTTCGACCGAGAGGTCAATCGACGGATTCAACTCGGCTGGGCAGCGTTCGGGAAATTGCGACATATCTTCTCGTCAGGTATACCTCAATCTCTAAAAACTAGATTGTACAACCAGTGCGTGTTGCCAGTGATGACTTACGGATCTGAGACGTGGTCCTCCACTGCTGGCCGTATAAGGACGCTTAAGGTCGCTCAGCGAGCTATGGAGAGGGCTATGCTCGAAGTTTCTCTGCGTGATAGACTCAGAAATGAGGATATCCGCAGTAAAACCAGAGTGACCGACATAGCCCAACGGATTAGTAAGCTGAATTGGCAATGGGTCGGCCATATAGCTCGAAGAACCGATAACGGATGGGGAAGAAAGGTTCTCGAGTGGCAGCCTCGTACCGGTAGGCGTAGTGTAGGGCGATCCCACACAAGATGGAGTGACGACCTGGTAAGATATGCAGGAAGTAGATGTGAATGCAGGTGGCTCAGGACCGTGCTTTGTGGCATTACTTGGGGGAGGCCTATGTTCAGCAGTGGACTTGTGAAGGGCTGTAATAATAATAATAAATAATTTATCATCATCATCATTACAGGCATTCACATGCTCACCTGCTGGACGTAGGTCTCCTTCTCCGTGGGAAATAATTTGTGAAATAATCTAATATATTTTGAATTAAGTTTACGACAATTTATTAAAAAAGTGAACTAATAAAAATAAAACTCGCAAATAGAAATAATGTTTGTTTTATGTTGCATAAAATAAGTTATTGCATAATAGACTACATATTAGGAAATTGGAAACTAAAGTAAAAAATTACTTGACAACGAATCTAAAATATTTTACATATTATTTCACATTAATTGTTTTATTGCTTAAGAAATTGCCTTATGATAACTGCAAATATATACAAAGCAAACTTATATGCATAAACATTAGGGTCCAAACTGAATTGAATTTCTTATTAACCTAGATGAAAGACTCGTGTAGAGTAGATATACATATGCAACAGGTGGGGGAGAAATAATAAAACTGTATGGCGGGTCCGCCATTTCGCCAAACATTTCTTGACATCGCTCGATGTCAGAAAATTGGAATTTAAGTGAAAGAATATAAATAAATAAAAAATGAAATTCACTCTCGTTTTTGTCTTCGCTCTGGGGGCCTTCGCTGTAGCCGAGGATAGTGATAATACCATGGAGATCGCGATAGGCTTCGTGAAGGATTGCAAAGGAGATTACATCCTGTGTGTCAAGGTCTTTAATTTTATTAATAAAGTGAAAGTGCTCAGTGATAACAGAACGTGTTATAGTGTCAGTGTGTAGTCAAGTTTCACGAACTCTGGGATTTTTTTTTACTTGTGGTTAATCTAGTCTGACAAGCGTAATCATGTAATCGATCTTAATACCGCGTCGATTTATGTAGATTCATACTTCAAAGAGTATTACATTCAGAGATGTAATGTTATTTTTTTATTTTTTAGGAAAAAATGCTGAAAATTGTTGATAACCTAAGAGCGACTAGAAGTATTACGATCTCAGAAGGTGTTGTGTTAAAAGGAGAACCTGAGATGCGGTCACCTAAAAAGCTTGATGCTCTACCAGTAGACCCTACAGCCAGGAATGCTGAAGTTAATTACAGACTCGTAGATGGAGTTGTCAACTTATTTGAAACACACGCTATTGAGGTAAAAATGAACCCCACGGATAAAGAAACTGTACAAAGATCTCTTGAGGAAGGTATGGATATATTTTTTATTCTCTTTTTGATGGACTTTTTTATATATATATATATATATATATATATATATATATATATATATTAATTTTAAACTATCATTGTAACCGTTAAAGTCAAAATTTGCTACAGTCAGAATAATTGTCTTATATATTATATCACATTTTATTTTTTAAAATTAAAAAATTTAAACTATTATTTTAAAATTTTGTACCAGGTCGTGGAAAGAAAAAAGGAAGTGGAATAGGCGGTATCATTGGACTCCTAGCTGCCAAGGTTCTACTTGGAAAACTATTCATCGTCAAGCTGATAGCGCTGAAGGCTTTAGCGACAGCCAAGATTGCCTTGGTCCTTGCCGTCATTCTTTTCGTGGCATGGTGTTTCAAGCATGACCATACGAAGACAACTTACGAAGTAGTACCTCATCCTCATCATAGCGAATCCCATCATCACGATCATCATCCCATTCATTCACTTGAACACATCTCTCATGACGCCGGTCATGGGCACGGATTCTCTGGCTATGGTTCAGACTGGAGCAAGAACCTCGAAGAGGGCCAGAACCTAGCTTACAGCGCCTACTCACCACATCGGAAGTAGATAGATAATTAATACCAAAAAAGTTCACATCTAGCTTACTTGTAACCTCTATTGTACAAAGATTTAATTTATTTAATTTATTACAATTAATTTATTGATTTTTATGTTAATAAATGTTTAAGTTTTAACGTTGGTTTAGTTTCCCCGTTCCTTTTTGTTTAAAATGTAAAAAATAATTTTCATAAACGCAATTGTATAAAAATGATTGACATTCAAAACTACAAACATATTTAGAACAATAATATAAAAATAATAAATTTCTCTAAATATATCTTAAAGCTTATAAAATTAGCTCAAATATTTTCATGAAAACTTTTGAGCTAACATTTATAAGCTTTAAGATATATTTACATAAGTTTATTATTTTAATCGCCGAATTAAATTTAAACAGACAGTTAGTAATATTTATGCCACATTTAAAAATGTTACCTAATAATCTCTATGACGTTACCGTTACTCATTCTCTCCGTTCTCTTTGTATATATAGTTATTCCACATTTTTAAATGAGCGAATGATTATAAGTTATTAGAGAAATCTAACATTGGGCCAAGAGTTAATGAATGCACTTGTTTAAGAAACTGGCAGAGCAGAAACAGGTTTTAAGTAGATATTCATTTAAGGCGTGACTTTCTATTTATGTACCTACATATTATAATATAATCTGTCTAATGTTATATTTATTATTAGCTTCAAATTGATTGAAGAATAGACGGTATCTCCTTTTTTGTTTTCTTTTTTAATATTTTCAATTAATTGCATGGGGAGTGAAAACAATATAGTTAGATATTTATTAGTATTCATTATGATGCATTTTATTTTATTTAAATGAAAAGTCTGTCACACTTTATTCTAAAAACTTTCACTTTACTATTCAAAAATGTTCACTAATATGTCATATCAGAAATATGTGATAGGAAGGTAGCCATAAATTAGAAATTCCATGTATAACGATTTATAATGACTTGATAAACGGTAAGAGTTTCTACTCCTACACAATACTTCGGTCAATTTATGTTCAATGATACTCGTATCGGAAATGGAATTTGATAATAATGGAGACGATGTGTTTTACAATGATAATATTTACATAATAAATACATAATGGTGTTACGTATATTATTTTGTTTTATTTATAAATATGAAGTATTGCAAATCTGTACACGCACTCACCATACTTGTATGTTTAAATGGGTAAGTCTTAAGAACGTAAATAATTTTGATACATCACTTACGGTTAGATATTTAAAACTATATTTTCGTGCTTATGCACATTTTTTGTATGATCTGCCTTCTCTTAGACACAAATAATGCATGATTTTATCGCCAGATTTTGTCAAATTGGTGCTCGTATAGTATTTAATTTCGGTCACGGCGGCCAGTCTTAACTGGGGCTATCTATCTGTCAGGTTTATAGTGCACGAGTGCATGCACAAGCATAGATACTCTCAATTTACTCACTCTCATAGTCAATGAGAGAGCAACCTGACATGGCCAAAGGGAGATCAGGCACAAGACTCATTTCACGTGCTTCCTGAGGCACGAGGGTAAAACAACGCCAATTCCCTGACTCCAGGCATCTACTGAGATTTTTTTAACCTGAGTCCGCAAGGGCAGAAGTAGCCCTATCGATCGCAAGAACAACGCAGCAGTAGAACTTCGTTATATTTATTGTGTCGTGAAAAGAGCTTTTAGAGCTTATGGCTCACTCTTACCATAGCAAATTTCACTAACAAACAGACATTTTAAAATATCTCACATGTTAATACTGAATATTTAAATAGTAAAGTCAGTAAATTAAAGCCTTATGTGTCTCACTGCTAGGTTTTTCGTTTGTGTATTGGCGGAATTGACAGGCCTTCGAAATATTTTTATTCCCTGAGAATGCACAGTGTCTGACGTTTATATACCTTCACTGTCGAGTAATTTATACAAACTTCGAAAACCAAACTCTTTATTTTAGGGATAATTCTTGTAAATTATTATTAATATTATTTCTAAATAAACTTGTATCATGTTTATGTTATATAATATTATTAATCAAATCGCCTATCGCTATCTTTTAATAACGCCGGGGCTTGATTAGTGAAGTGTCCCGGCCTTAAGTCCGCCCTCTGTTACATAATGTGTTTGCAGTTAAGTCCTTAAAGTGAAATTAAATAAATAAACGTACCACTACAATATTATATAAATTCATATCTCTTTAAAAACATCTTATTTATATCAAATATTTAAGTTTTTAATTAAAAAGTAGTGTGAATTTAATTGACATTAATAGTCATTATATAGTAGAGAAACTTACAATTTCCGAGAGAGCTATTCATATTTAAACGTAAAATTGCTTCTCCATTAGATTTATTTCCTAACAAAATGCAAGTCATGCTCTTTATTCATAACATAATCTAAAGTGACTGGCATGTTACTTATGCCCGATTTCTCAAGTCAAGAAAAGTTCCGTTCTTAGGGTCGATCTGTTTTATTACCGTATCCGTTTATATCATATTACCGTATTATTACGAAAAAAATATCGCAGCTTACTACGAATAAATTAATAGTAAAAATATATTTTTAAAAACAAGCTTTTATTTAAACACTCTAAAAATAATAAAATATTATTATATGATATAAAAGCTTGTTGCGAGAATTATTAATTATTAGCTCGAGCACCACCAAACTATCCCTTACCTTTGCCAAGTTATAACTATTTAAAATTGATATGGCAGCCTTCTTGTTTTCCGTCATTTAGATTCTTTTTTCATCGCCGCTAAAATTTTCCCAGGATGTAGACCGGTATTATTTAAGACGCGACACCGCTTAGTCTTACCGTTTAACCGAGTAGTGCACACATTTTTTTCGTATTCTTTTCAGCAAACTAAGGTTCACCTTTTCATCATCATTTGAATTCATATGTTCATTTAATATCCATATCATGGGGTAAATAGAAAACAGTCCGCCATATTAGATTTCGAGTGAAGTCTTTTTATTTTTCGTATTATTTCCACTCTTTCATATAATACCTATATTATGGGAGTGTACAAAAAATTACCAGTCCGCCATGTTGGTCAGTCCTCCATATTGGATTCATAGGCGTACTTTAAGAATTCCATTGCAAAATTGGACCCGAACAATTCGACCACAATATTGTAATCGAGGACTCCAAAACCCTGCAATAACAAAATTACAGGCGGGTTGGAGCAACTAAGTTTTTGATCACCAACTTAGATTCGCCATCTTTAGTTATTTTTTATAAAGCCAGCAGTTCACCCTTGTTGTTTCCTACAACATTAGTTCAAGTACCACTAAATTTTTTAGTTATAACTCTTTAAATTTTGTGTGGCTGCCATATTGCTTTCCACCCTTTTTAGCCATGGGTATATTCCAGCTCTATCATCAGATAAACTAAATGTTATAATAATATTGCATTGTCATATTAGACATCAACGGCATTGGATTAAGAATGACAATTTTACTTATTGTGTTTTGCTCATCAAGACCTTTCATTTGATACCCGTACCATAAACCCGTTTTGTGACGTCCACCATATTAGATTTAAAATGACGTCACTTTACTTATTGTGTTTTGCTCATAAAGCCTTTTTATTTGATACCCATATCATAGGGGTTACTACGGAAATTATAAATCGCCTTTTGTGCCATCCGCCATAATCCACTAAGAATGACGTCACTTTACTTATTGTAATTCGCTTATTAAGCTCTTTCATTTGATACATTCACAGCAACATTCTAGACGTTCCACATAAGATTCTACAGAGGGGTCGTAAGACCTTTTTAAAAGGCTGGCAACGCACCTGCAATCCTCCTGGTGTTGCAGTTGATCATGGGCTCGTTTGCCTGTACTATAAAAAAAACAGTGGTTGTTGTGGAAATGCTAAATAGATACTTTGTAGCGTCCGCCATATTGGATTAAAAATGGCAACATTTAAGTAACCGTGCATTGCCACGTGAACCAAACGTGTGTGTTAAATTTTAGCACTAATTATGAAGTTAAATAAAAGCTTTAAAAAAACGTGAAATGTGGAATATCCATAAAAGTCAGAAATTTTAAGTCGTTATTTGTTGTTATTATAACGGTCCGTCAACCTAATGGTAAGCGATTGTTGTGGCTCATAGGCTCTGTTCTCGATTAAGCATGAAAATGCAAATTCGTTGTTACCACTAAGGACAAAGATGAAATACATCGTTTTCAGTAAAAAGGTCTTACCTATACTCAACATATGAAATATAGCAGCATTAAGCTGCTATTTCTCGCTCATATTCTGTTTTTAGTTCCATTATTTTATTTTAAAAGTGATATTTTTTCTACGCACGAAAAGTTAACGTTTATTTAAATATAGAGCATATATTATATTAATCTTAAAACAAGTTATAAGGCAGCGCATGTTTTGGAATACTTGCTCGTTATATAAAACTAATTTTATTCCTTATTTTGGTTGGTAACCCGATGCTAAGTCTTGACATAGCATCACCTCTCGTGATAATGGGTGCTCTAAATGCCACCCAGATGTCGTACTTCGCGTGCTGTGAGTAGGTGCTGCAATTGTAGCGCGTCCCGTGCTCCGATACCGTAAAGATTATTTTATTCAAATTGTATGTTCGCGTTAATATGAGAAATCGTATATACAGTAAACCAATTTACCTCACTAATTATATGGCTAATACTCACGTTCTAGTTAAGCTATTCCTTATCAGTAGTTTCTTCAAAGTTCAATATATCCAATGAACTTTCCGCCGTTTGTCTGCATAAACTTGTTGGCATTTGTGCTTCAAAATTTCAGCCTATATAGTGTAAATAATACATAGCACTACTGAATACAGCCCTCCATTAATTTCTGAGAGGATAATATCCCTTACAAGCCCTGCATCCATCGACTTCCTGCATGTCACACCAGATCGGACTAGTAGTAGTAGTTCGACTAGTACGGCTAACCTAGTACTAGTAGTCTAGTAGGCCGCTCTACACTTTGCTTACCAGTGAGAAGCTG